TGCAAATTATATTTAATCCGAATATTTTAAATATTATGTTAGTCAACACACATTTTTGCTTGCATGTTTATGCGGCTCACGAGATCTGAAAAAATAGAAATTGTGGTTTATCTCTTGTTGCAGGTTACCGTTGTTTGTGAGTGTAAATAGACTTGGAAGCGCTAAAGTTGTTGATAATTCATTAGCCGAAGAAGCCTGTACCGGTGCATCCGTCTGGATTGCTGCCGCTCCAAAATCCAGTGCCGATATTACGACATCTAGTGCAAATGCTCCGGGACATATTCGTGGAGGGGTAAGTAGCAGTATATTCTAAAGATAATCACGATTTTGTCCTTATAAAATTTTCGATTTTACTGAGATCTATTTGCAAGAATTCATCAAAAATGACGCATTTTGGGTTGAAAAACGTGCTGTCTCTAGTACAGATCAGTTATAATTGTTGTAAACAGTTTTAAAAAAGTACTGGAAATCTATCATCTTCATTTACTGATCGGCTAATGTTCCAAGTTTGCATTGAAACACAGACAACCAAGTTTACATTTATCCTTCCTACAGGTCCGCATTACAGCTCCTGAACATTTTTTTACAACATATGCTCTCTACTACCTCTTTCACTTCTTGATTTTGTGATCTTCCCTTCCATTCCCACACATTGTTTAGGAATCTACCGGTTTTTTTAAGTGAAATTTAAATTACGAACATAAGCTGGACGACATTCCTTGCTGTTTTTCACAAGCATTTCCAAATGTTTTTTTGGTAATGCCGTTGGGGGTGGTGCAATGGGAAGTAGCGCTGTTATCGTGCCAGTAAGATAAGGGCTCGACTCTATCGATGGGAAAACCAATCTCTCTGCGATCTCGGTTTATTCCTTTCAGTGGTAATTCAATACCGGATATGCCAGGGAGTCATAATTCGACGCCACATATTACTAAGGAGTCAACCACGCCATCAGCTTGCTTGTAAGCAACTCTCGAAAGAGAGGGAAGGGGGGACATTTAGAGCTTTGTCAGCGGGTAGTTGCTGCTTGCATTTGCTGTCATTCGAATTATTTCCGGGTTCTCCCGTCTTTCATAGAGGGCAAATATGGTGGTAGTTTTACTATTGATATAAGACGTATCCCCGGTTCATTGGGGCCGTGACAAACAAATGTATAAAACTGCGACTTAATAGTTCGGCAAGCTTTGGGTAATGAAATTTTTAACTGAACCATTTTTCAGAGAGCTGATGATTATTTAATAACTTATATCAGTCAATGCGGTGGCGGAACACTGGAGCCAGATTCACTTGGTTAGTCAATTATTATGCGTTTTGTGCTGCGTTGTC